TGCTCTTCCACGAAGGAAAAACCTTGTAATCAGTAATGAAGGTTATAAAAGATGCAGTCTGCAAGTCAGAAGTGTCCTATTAGCACCAATCAAGGTGATAATTAAGACCAGATTTCTGTAAGGAGGGGGTAGGCTTTTAGGGGGCTTCACAAAGTACTGAACTTCATGCACATAATAAGCAGTTCAAAGTACTCTTACTTTACTAAGAAGATGCTCAAAGTGACTAAAAGGAAGGTGTACTCTTGCATACATAAGTATCTTATTTTGTTAGGCTAACTCCGTGCAACAGAAAAAACTTGCCTACCCTCACATACATTAAGGATGAGGGAGCTTGGCAGTTTTCTTTTTGTTGTTGAGGATTTTTTTAAGGGTGGGAGTATTTTGGGTTGGTTTTTTTTTTTTTTTTCCCCCCAGAATTGTTCATAAATGCATTTAGGAGAAAAAAAATTTAGATGAAGACAACATTCTTTATACATTCAAGGTTTCAGTTGACTAAAAGCTTTCCAGCAAACCAGAGTAACGTTTCACATTTCAGGGACTACAGTTTTCCTTCAACTCATTCTTGCTGGTTTTTACTTATTCATAGATCTGTCAAGCAAATTCAGCAGAGTATCAAGCAAAACATGTACATCACAAATACCCTCTCTCATAAAAAGACAATCTCAATCAATAGGTGTCAGCAAGTACTCACAACAACAAATTAAATCAAGCCATGCTTACACACCTAAAGTGTATTACCCTCTAGCCCTTGCACCTTGTGTGGTGTAAGGCTTAGAAGAGTAGCAGCCTATTGGCAATTGATTCTTTTTAGGCAGGGAAAGCAAAAAACAATTAAGATATGAATATGACCAACAATGCTTCATACACATGGACACTTCAACTTCAATTGTGAACAGATGGAAAGTAAAACAGTCTCATATATTTCAGTTTCACCACATTCCTCAATAATTTTTCTAGATCAATAAAAATACACTTTTTAAAAATGAAAATGTTTAGAATTATAAACTATTTCCAAATAGGCAATCCACTGATCTTTAACTTACTGACATGCTTCCCTTTGCCACCTCATTGATTGTGGCATGATTCTTACTGGACAGCAATTCACTACTGGCATTATTTGTAGACAGTCAATTTTCTCTTATTAAATAGATTTCAATAATTTTACTTTCAGCATTCATAAAGGTTATTTCATACCTGTGTATTTGCTAGGTGTGATGCCCCATTTTCCTCCTCCAAATGAGGTATTTTCCAGTTCTCGTGAGCTTTCCACAAATGTTGCTGGAAAGGTGTCTAATCTGTAAGGCAAGGGTGAGATATGCTGTATAAAACATGGTTTTTACACTTGCACAAATAAATGGGTGATTTCTTTTTTAACAAAGCAGGCAAATGAATCTGAACTTATTTGAACCCTCTAGAACTGCAGCACTGGAGGAAACCTCCACCATCTTCAGCCACAGCATTTCTCCAATAGCTCCTTTTCACCTTCTCTATTCTCTTTCCTAGGGCTGTCTTCATTTATTGCTACCATTTCCAAATCCTTACTCTTCAAATATTTACACCCTGGTTTTGTGCTGGCCACCACCCTTCGCCTGCTCTTTTCTGCTTCACCTTCTTCTAACCCTCCCAGATTTTGTGCCTCTGTATTTCCATGGCCTCCATTCCCACCATGGAGAGCACACTCCCATTGCCAGGTTCCATTACTAATGGGTGCAGTTAGAGATAATGGGATCACACACACCCAGACTTCAGCAGAGCCACACATTCAACACCACCACCACCACACTGAACACAGCCACAACATAGCCCTGGTGCCTCTGCAGATCCACATGTCAGGGTGAACTGCAGCCTGAGCTTCATTAGGATCTGGAATTTTCTCCATGCTTTTTCCCTTCTGTCCCCCTCCTAGCTCAGCCCACCTTCACATGACAAGTATAAAGTCATGCAGCCTTCAGCACAATCTCACAAACTCTTATGCAAGTAAATAGTTTGATTCCCATGGAGCTCCTCCAGGATAAGGTAAAGCATTGCAGAATTTGGAAAGTGGCCACTTGCTGAGGCACCAAAGACACTTCTCCTCATAACTTTATTTTACATGTAAAGTTCTGTGCATTTCATAAAGCAATAAATTTACAAAGTCTTTGATCAATTATCTTTCTCAGGCCTCTGTAATTTTCAAGTTAACCACTTCATTCTTCACTACACACAGCCTCATTTAATTTCCTTATATCTGCAGAGCAGGAATTAGACAGGCCCAGAATAGATCAAACAGTGCTGAATTTGGGTCATTATCCACAAAGTATCCCAAGACAGTCTGCCTTGGCTGTCAGTGAAAGTTCACTTGCAATATTTTACTCACACTAGAAAAGGAGATAGGGAAGACTGGCAACCTTCATTAGACCAGAAATCTTAAAACTATTTAAAGCATGACCTCAAGACCTTCTTCAAGGCTCACACATCTGAAAGCTCACTTCTCCTTTTTTCTCTCAAGAACATAGATTTTTTTTTTCAAATCAGACACTTTATCTACTAAAGAGCAGTACCTGAAAGCACCAATTTTTCTGGGTCTCTTCATAGCAGCCATTTCCTCTAACTACCTAAACATGCTTAGATTTAAGCAGCCTGAACCTCATCACCTAGTTTAAATTAACTATGTGCTTAAATACTCCAGTGCCCCGGTGCCAGAATAGCTTATCTATACCTCTAAAAACAAACCCTCCCTCCTGTTTTTTTCTAAGTACAACTCTGGAACACTGAACACTAGCTTTAATCTGGTTTTGTCACCCATTCACTTTTCATATTTTGACTTGTTTTCATTTTTAAATTAATACAGGATATTGTATCCTCCTGCTAAACCAGTTGTTGTGTCCCAGTTTCACTCTAAAGCAAACAAACAGGAAACAGAGTCCCTGCTTTGGTTTCCTAGAGATATTTGCATATAGTCACTGAGGAAAGGTTATTTATTCCATCTGATTGATTTTTAAAATTTATCTGTAGCATAAAGAACTAAGGGGTTTTTTTTACATTTTGATTGGTGATTAGATCCTGAACCAAGTCACAATCTAAAAGAAACACTGATATTTAAGCATTAATAATTTAAAAGATAAATTGGAGGGCTTTTCTTATCTCTACCATCAATACATACAACAGCATTCCAGCATTCAGGTTTACAACACAGAAAAGTAAGTCTTGGCAAGCAATAGCTCAGACATACTGTATTTATTGCAGTCATGAAGCCTATTATGGACATCTTTGTTTATCTCATCACAATTAAACATTCATGAAGAAATATTACAGAAAAAAGCATTTCTGGTCTCATAGCTAATTAGCACAATTTAAGAGTACCCTGTAGTTAAGCTGCCCAGCCTCTCTCTCAAGGAAAGTGGGGATCTGAATCTAAATTACAAGTGCTCTCCTCCCCCTCATCTGTGCATTTTCAAAACCAGGATTTCAGTCCTGCTTACTAACCCATGTCTGACTGACCTAACAAATAGTACAGACATGCAGGAATAAACTTCTAAAGTGTATTTTATTTAACTTGCCTCATAGAGAAACACCAAATTTCCACAGTATTGATGCCATCACACATGGTCTGGATTTCAGCCTGGTACCATCGGTGAAAAATAACTAAAGGGACACATGCAAAACAATGAAAACTTGCTATTTGCAACAAAAACACTGTTTTCAGAAAATCAAGGAATACTGACAGGACATACATAGTCTGTACCTTCCCATGTCCACATATATCCTTACACTGCTATTACAATATTCTAATAGATTGTTTCTCCATGCAAGGTTATAAAAGTGTGGTTTATTAGGGTACTGCAACCATAAAGTTACGATTGTTTCTCAGGCTGAATTTATATCTAGCCATCAAAATGCATTACTACATTCCAGTCACTTCTTTTTTTTCCTTGCACATTAACATAATCATCCCCAACACTTCAAAGTAAGGGAAGTTATATCTAGCTGGCATTCAAACCTACAGCTCTGTCTTTTTTAATAAAGGCCCTCTTTCTATTTTCTAAGGGCATGATGCATATGTAGGCAATCGCCAATGATGAAACCACAGCTACATTATAAACTACCTTATTAAAAATTAAGGATTGTAATTACACATTGAAACCAAGAAAATTATTGTTCCTTTTTCCAAGGAAAAGGAACAATAACATATTCTTGTGCACAGTGGTGCTTGTGACCCTCAGACAAAGGCATATCCAAGAAAACTAAAGTGCAATCAGCTCTCTAGACTCAGCAATGGCTTGGGGTGAGGGCCGGGATGCTCCTGAACAGAAAATCCCGAACCCCACGGTTCATCTGTCATGGAGAGGCAGCGACCCCACTGCCTAATTGTGTGTTTAATAGTGTGTTTAATTGTGTGTTTAATTGTGTGTTTAATTGTTTAACTGTGCCCAAATCCCTCCAGGTGCCCACGCACCAGGTTTCCTTCTAGAAGCTCTCTGAATTACCATAGTATCTGTGTACACATGATCTAGATTTCAGCCAGTGAAAAACAACTAAAGGGGCACATGAAAAACAGTGAAAACTTGCTATTTCCAACGAGACCGGTGTTTTCACAAAACCAAGCGGCGAGCCCGGAGAGCACCACGCTGCCGAATTAACTTTTGATATGTTTTCATTTTAATCTTTAAAGATTGCAAGAAGTAAATTACTCTCTTTAGAGAGTCCAAGAAGAGACCCCAAGGCACGGAGCGGGGAGCCGGGACATCCCCGCCCGTCCTGGCTCGCCCTCAGGACGGCCGGGCCGGTCCCGCAGCGCCTCTCCCGCCGCTTGGGGTGCCCAAACCAGGGCGGACAGACAGAAAAACCCCACCGAGAGGAAGAGAAGCGGTGCCCGCACCCGCTCCCCGGCCCATGCCAGCCGCGCCTCCCGGGGCCAGCCCGACCCGGCCCCGCAGGGTGGGCGGGCGCAGCGCGGAGCCCCGGCCCGGCCCGGCCCCCGCCCGCCCCTCGGCGCCGGGAGGCGGAGCCGGGCGGGCGATCGCGGCCCGGCCGCTTCCTGGTCACCGGAGCAGGAGGCGACAGGAGCCCGCCGAGGCGGCTGCGGGGGTCCGGCTGCCGCCATGGCCTCGCTCTTCAAGAAGAAGACCGTGGACGGTGAGTGGGCGACCGGGGAGGCCCCGCCGCGCCCCCGGCAGCGGCCGCCCCCAGCCCCCTCACGGCCCCGGGCGCGGGGCTGGTCCCGGCCGGGGCTCCGGGGCAGCGGCAGCCCGGCGGGGATCGCGGCCTCGGGCCCCGCGTCCCGGCAGGGAGCGGAGCAGGAGCGGAGGCCCCGGCCCGCCCGCCGTGACTCACCGGCGGCGCTCGGGGAGAGCCCCCGGGCCGGGCCGGCCCTGGCACAGCGCGGCGGGGGATTCCTGGCGCTCCGGGAGGGGTGGGAGCCGGGCCCGGCCATCCCGGGCCGTGGGTGAGGCAGGAGGAGGAGGAGGAGCGGCATCGCTCGGTGGCGGCGAGGGACACAAAACAGGCCCGGCAGGAGTTGCTGGGGCCCAGGGGGAGCCGGGACGCGAGCGGTGCCGTGTGAGGGAGCCACGTCCAGGCTGCGGGAGCCGCCGCCGCCCGGCCCTGGGCTCCGCGCCGCTGTGCGAACAACTTGGTTCTTTGTGGCCAGGCTGGTACCAAAACGCTTAAACTTCAGCAGGAACAACCATCCTCAAATAAAGCCCCAAAGGACGGCTTAGCTGCCAGCAGGCCGCTGGGCGATGCTCGGCTCTCCACGTTGTCGTGCCCAGGGTTGGCGAGCCCCAGGTTTGGCTCTCTGGTGTGTTGGGGGCCCCGTGTCAGAGCTAGTGGTGGGTCGGCGTTTGAAAAGGGCTCGCAAAAAATGACGCTGCACATCAACCAATTGTGTGTCACAGCAGGGAACACGCACAGGTCCCACCTGGCTCTTCCCATTTTAGATGTGGCGCCTGAGAGGGGAAGAAGGGGACTTGGCATTAAGCTGCCATGACCAAGGAAGGATTGCAGGAGCCAAGGAAGGATTGCAGGTCAAGCCCTGCTGGATGTCTCTTGTCCAGCCTGTTTTAAGGAATGCTTCCTCCTTGCCCTGGTGTGTGTGACGACAGTGTGACACACAGGAGTGGCTAATGGCATAGGACTTTATCTCAGAATAACCTGTCGTATTCTGTCTGTTCTAGCAGCTGGGAATTCTCCTCGGTTATCAGAAACAAACAAGAACCAAGTTCTCATCTTGGCCTTCACTTCTAAAAACAAATTAAACAGTCTGTAACTGCAGATAGTTGTTTTCAGTTTATTGCCATCCTTAGTTGAAGCCACTGTGGGGGATCAGAAACTACAGAAATAAGCATTGTGCTTACCCTTATTGTCTTCTAAGTACTATTCTAAGTTTGCTATCACCTTGAAGTTCCTACCTCTCCAGCTCACTATACTAAGGCTTTTTTAAAACTAGTGTATTTAGGAAAGCCAGTCTTGTATGTAGCTATTAAGCTTTTTCTTTCAATTTACCAAGTGCAGCTGTGCAAGTAATATACATTTATCTATCTTCAAAATTACTTGCCTGTAGCATTTTCAGAATGATTTTCTCTGCTGTTTTGCCAGTGTGAAGAATGCAGTTATATTCCATGCCATCTTTCAGTTCTTAGTTATTGTCCACTGAAAAGCATCTCTCCCAAGGATGCTTTTTCTGTAGTACTCACAGCAGTAGTAGCATTGTAAAAACAGGTGTCATTTTCACACCTTTTTTTTTTAATTATATATTTCTTTGCCCAAGAACTGGGCAATCTCCAGCAAGGTTGGAAATGTATATTCTGTCTTTAAAATGCCACTAAAGGTTTGGGATTTTTTTCCGGCTACAAACCTATTAACATCAATATAATTTCAGCAATGGATGTTTTACAGTATTTCTGACTTTGGGAATGAAGAATGCCAAGGCTTCTCGCTGTTTGTAGAAAAATTGCCTCAAACCTTAAAAAATGAAAGGGTGGCCTGTGATTCTACAATTTACCCTTCTAAAGAAAATTTATGTGACAGTGTGCTCCTTTGAGACTCCCACCCGAAGTGCAGGCACAGGAGCAGCTGAATCTCTCCTCCATAGTAACTGCTCCCCCTACGTGGGTCAGAGCATGCTGAGTCACACACAGGCGCCCTGCTCTGCCTTTGCCCGGGTGAATCACACCCAAGCACGTGCTCTAAATCCTATCAAAACTTAGTTGCAGCTAGCACGATTGATGCCTAGGCTGTAAATAATACTTGCTTTAATAAGAGGATGTTATCAGTATATAATTTTTAATAGCACAGTGCACACAACTCCTATGAAGGATGATAGGTTTCACCTGACAGACCGTGTTCAAGCTTTGCTCGCTCTGTCAGTTGTCAGTAAACTGAAATTTGTTGTAAAGGCCTCCACTTTACTGCCTTACTATTCTTAAGCATCTCCTGATTGAAAAGTTTCAAACACTGTTGCTTTATGGACTGATTTGAAGAAGGGCTACACAGATGTGGAGGAGAGGAAGCTCCCCAAGAGCAGAATAAGGACACAGTGGGATTGCTGAGTTAGTGCTGGCCTTGCAGCAAAGTGTGTGTACAGATGTCTTACTGAGGGGTTAAGGCTCTTGCTGTGCTTATGGTGCAAAGTAACATCCTAGGTAAAGGTAAGAACAGCTTTGTTTTTAACAGGGTATAGCCCACACTGCTGACACAATGATATTATATACACCAAATTGTATTTTGCTAATATTTTCTGTATCTGAAATGTTGACACTTCACTCTGCATGTCTGCAGGGTGCTTAGCAGGTGTTTATGGAGTGTTGAGAAACTTTGCCCAGCTATCAATGTTTTCTTTCCAGATATAATAAAGGAGCAAAACCGAGAGTTAAGAGGTACACAGAGGGCTATAAGCAGAGATAGAGCAGCACTTGAAAAACAGGAAAAACAACTGGTAAGTATGACAGGGAACTTTATTTTGCTCTTTAAAACACACACATGCAATAAAAAACTTGCAAGATTTTAGAGATACCAGTCAATGCATAATAATGAAATACTAAAAAGACAGTTGTCTTCCCCTTTTCATTTCTCAGTTAAAATTGTGTTGGAAAATATTTATGGTCTAAAAGTGATTCTCAGCCTTTGCCATAGGAAAATCCTGAAACAATGTGTTTAGATAAAATAACCACTTTGGGTTTTCCCTACAATTCCCAGCATTCTCTGTCCTTCAGAAGGTTTTTGGGTTTTTTTCAAAACGTTTGTAAATCACTTGTCTTGTGGTGGAAAAATTAAAAGAAGTAGAAGTGCTGTCACGTGTTACCATGACTGTCCAGTGGGAGAGAGTACTGGAAAACCACAGGATATCATGAGTGCCCCTAGAGTTGTTCTTTTCATTCAGACAGAACTTCCCTAAAATTAGCTGATAATAGTAGGACTGTTTGCCTAAATTAAGATGTATTCAGAACTTAACATGTGTGAGCCTTCAAGTACTCAGTGTCTGAATGCTGCACCTGTGTGGCACTGTAAGAGGAGAAATGGATGTGCCAGATGGTGGGGTTTGATGCATGAAGAATGCTCACACTGTGGGAAAAGCTGTGCGAATCCAGCCCGTTCCAGCAGCTATTGAGGTGGTGCTGCTGGTTCATGGCAGCAGGTTGCATCAATACCAAGAGCTGGGAATAATAAACTAAAAGATCAGAGAAACTGTTTCTGAAAGCCTTGGATGTGTAAAATATAGTAGGTTGCTCATAAATAAGGCATTTTTTCCCAGTATGAAATATTCCAGATATGGAAATAACCTTAATTTTAGTGGCTATTCAGGCTGAAGTGTTGATTATTTACTACACTAAGTGGTTTCAGAAATGTTGGATTTCTGAGAAGAAGAAAGGAGCAGTGAAATATGTCTTTGAAAAAGTTAAAATTTGCTGCTGGAATGGGAGTAGCAATGGATAATAAATATTCATTTTCAGTGTCAGATCAGGTGAAGAAGGATCAGGGGCTTATCAGTCAATCTCGAAACATTTCATTATGTGCTTTCTCTAGAGAGACCTTTTTTTTCCCTCCCTTAATTTTAAGGTACTACTCTGAGAAAACCAAGTTATGCAGTTATATTATTTCTACAGCTAAAAATACCTTAATGTATGCAGACAGTTCTGTTTCAGTTCAGTAACCTGATATAAATGCACAAATTTTGATTTTTTTTCCCAGAAGAACATGACTGACTTCAATAAGCTTGCCCCAGACCTCTCAAAAGCAGATAATGTACACCAAATTGACCCAAATTATTTTTAATTAGGAATAAAATAATCTGTTTGATTTATAGGGTTTGATTTCTGCAGGTGTATTATCTGCAGTGATTTAGCAATGGTTTATATTTTGCTTTGAAAAAAATCAGGTTATAAAAGCTATGTAGGTCTTTCAACTAGTCAGAAAATCCCTATTTTCAAACATTTGCTGTTAAAATATGGGGTGCAGACTAATCCCTCCAACCTTCACAATACTTTAGATACAAAAAAAAAAAAAAGGAAATAATATTCTGGTGATGTTATAGGAATTTTTGTGGCTTCTGTGAACTACTTTCAAGGAGCACAGCTTTACTTCTATTTCAGGCCTCTAAGGTTTGAACAGTCTCCTGCTGCTTCATTGCCACTCTGTACCTTCCTGGATTAAAAATAGTGTGTATGACACACCCTTTAGGAGCTGTGACTCTGCAGAGGGGATTTTGTGCCAGAGCCATCTCTGGAATAAACTTAACTGTGAACTTTTCTGGTAGTGAGGGTAATGCAGTGGGCCAGTTTACATCTGCCTTTAGAGTTCACTGTTCTGCATGTCCTGGGGACTAGAATTTATCTTTTCATACCTTCTTAGAAGTACAGTTTTCTTTTCACTGGATTACCAGTGCACATCAAGTGAAGCAACTGCATACCTATAGCAGGCATATTATCCTGAAAAATCCAGGAGAAAGCTGGTCTTCAAAAGCTGCTTTTACTTAATGGTAAAAACCAAAATGGACATGTACAGAAAACTGAGCCACTGTGGCAAGACCTGCTTAAAAAGGCTCTAAAGGAGAAAGTTGTTGCAATTTTTACATTACCAAGTTACAAATCAGAAGGCACACTTTGAAGAATCCCAGCTGACAAGATTATTTGTGCCAGGCTTTTTCCTGGTACCTCTGGGCTAAACAGATTGTTATTTCTCTTTGAATTGACAGATTGGGGTTTGGTTTTCTAAGACAGAAGTGTCTTTCTTACAGCACAAGCACATGTTAAATTATGCTATTTTTATTATGATTTAAGTCCAGCTAAATTATAAGGGTGAAGAGCCTATAATTATTGATCATCTAACTTTACTGGTCATCTAATTAACATCATTATTAGTCATCTAACTTTATCTACTTCTTCCCCCAAAAGGCTCTGAGGTTCTCTTGAGGCTGAAAAAAAGTTGAAAAGAAATCTCAATTTCTTACATGAGTGCTGTTGTTTGATTGCAAGAAATCAAACTTGATTAGCATCGTGGCACCAGTAGTTGACTGGACATCAGAATTCCTTCAGTTTTTGGGGCTTTTTTTGAAGGGTGGCTGCTTATCCAGACATGGAATTGAATGTGCACATAGAAGTGAATGTGACATCATGCAGAAATTGCAGTCTTTGGGGCAACTGTGTGCTACCACACTATAATTCAGTCTCATTGAGTTTTTTCCTTGTGGTCAGATCATACCAGCATGACATTGATTCTGCTAAACAGCCTTGTTAAAAAAGCAAGGAGCTATTTATACAATTTAAATGTCTTAAAAGATTCAAGAGGATAGTTAATTTTGAATTTAATTATTAGCGGTAAGGCTTAATTATAGTCTTTGCGTGAATGGAAATTCTGTGGAGTCAATCTCACACCTTTTTTCACAGGAGCTGGAAATCAAGAAAATGGCTAAAACTGGGAACAAAGAGGCCTGCAAAGTGCTGGCAAAGCAGCTGGTGCAGCTGCGGAAGCAGAAGAACCGAACCTACGCTGTGAGCTCCAAGGTCACCTCCATGTCCACTCAAACCAAGGTCATGAACTCCCAGATGAAGATGGCAGGAGCTATGTCAGCCACAGCAAAAGTAAGGCACCACAAGATGTTCTTTTTTATATCCAGATGCAGCATATGGTTGCAAAAATTCTGTTATTTTGGGTAATTTTTGGTAATTGCAGTACTAAAACTCACTTGGGTTTATATTTTTGTTTGGGCAATCTATCCCTATAGAACCTACATACTTTCTTGGTCTAGACATCTGTCAAATGTTTACATGACCAAAATAAACTAATGCCAGTGAATGAACTCTTTTAGTACATTAAAAAAACCCCAAACCCTGCTGCTACAGTGCCTTGCCTGTATTTATTGTCACAAGCAGTTTTTACTGGGAAAAAGTAGGGCATGATTTGTCTAGAAATCAAGGCACTGTGTCACAATAGCTTTATGGCTTTTGAAGAAAGTAGGTTATTGCTTTGGATCTAAAATTCCTAAAAAAATCTGATCTGGAGTTTGCTGTCATTCTCTCTGTGCTCTCTCAGGAAAGAGTATTGCATTAAGTTTCCTCCCAGATCTCATCTCATAAAAGAATGAAAAATCTCAGTTTTCTGAGTTAGGTGTGAACTTTCCCTTATTTCCCTGAATTAATAAAGAGGGATTTGGCTTTTGACAAGCAGGACTGTTCAGCTCAAGGTGCAGGAAGCAGAATTATTAAGCATCGCTGTAGACCAAGCTGGGCTTTGATCCCAGTCCAAGTTAAATCCAGTTAAACACAGCAATGCAACTTGGTGCAGAAAGGAATTACCACAAAGGCTTGGTGGTCAGGTGCCTTTCAGACACAGCATGAGGGCAGATTCCAGCCAGCCAGTGATACAGAGCTCTGGCTCTGCAGCAGATTTACACATTGGACTTGTCTGACTGATCAGGTTCAACACCTAACTCAGTATTCTTACAGCAGCACTCATGTGAACAAGTTTGTCCTGCTTTTTAATTATTACATGGGTGACTTGTTTTTATCTAGGATAGATCTTGGATTAAATTTCTCAAAACCAGAGTCACTGGAGTAGTTATGAAGATTAGGTCAGTAGGAAAAAAAAATAAATATTTTTAAACAGCAGGCAATTATATGTACAACTTGTGTAACATTATTGGAAAAAGGGTCCTAAATTTTCTTTTGATCAATTTTAAAGTGAAGCTCAAAAAATTGTTAATCTCATAAAACTATCAGTGAAAAATATATGGGATCAGTTGCCTTAACAAGGCAAATATATATACTTTCAATATACTTCTTAGCATATATGTTGCTAATTTTGAACATTGTAAAGTCCAGTTAAGTTACCTGATTATTTTTTTCATGCATCTAACCCTTATTTTCTGAAGATATGTAAATAAACTCTCAATCATTGGAGATATTTTTGACATCCATTTATACCAGCACCTTCCAAGTCCAAAACAACTTCTTAAATTCAAATAATGCAACCATGAGCACAGTCTTTGAAATTCAAGTAACATTAGTATCATAATGCATTATCACCTTGAGAAACTCAGACATGAAGGCAGAAGCACTTCTGTGAAGCCTGTAGTGGCTTTATACCATCTCTTTTAATTAACCAAGTCTTTTATCTTCTCAAAGATGGTTAAATTTTACATTTGAATTGCTTATTTCTGTGTTTAGAACCTGATATCCCACAGTAACTTGCTTTTTAGGAAAGAAGGAAGTACCCATAGCAGTGCCCACAAAGGCAGTAAAATGGGTGAAGTTTATTTCACTGTCACAGCAAGATCTCCACCCAACACACAGGTGCTCCCTAAACAAGTACTTCCTCAACACTTGGATATTTTCTTTCCAGAGAAAAGTAATTTTTCCATTAAATTACAACATCAAGAAGCAATTTAAGGCCTGTCCTCCAGTGGTGGTTCAAATAAATGGTCCTTTCTGAGTAAGAACCTGCAGCCATTTACTTCTTTAATGTGTGTAGGTAGCCTTCAAGTTAGGAGATGTTCTCCATTCTTTTCATTCAGATCAGTTGGATTTTTCCTAATACAAGGCCAGAGGAGGGTCATGGTGCAAGAAGGATGCACACATTTAAGACTCTGTTTATGAGGACACTAGATAGAAATATTTCTTACTAAGTGCAGGCTGTACTATTGCTTTGTCACTTACCTAATGTTCCCATGGGATGTAGAGAGACAAGGAAAGTGAAATTTGGATTAAAGCATTTTTCTTAATGAATGCACTGATATTTACTAATGTCTCATTGTATGATTTAAGAGTTTTTTCCATATTAATAGACAATGCAAGCAGTTAATAAGAAAATGGATCCACAAAAGACACTACAAACTATGCAGAATTTCCAGAAGGAAAACATGAAGATGGACATGACTGAAGAGATGAGTAAGTTCTGCACTGCAGGGGTCTGGCTTCTCTTGGCAGGGGACAACCAGCCTAAAAACACTGATGTTTGAAGTTTATTCCTGTAGTTAATGAGACTGACAGCAAAAATGTAGAGCAAACAAAACAATGTATGTCTGAGTAGGAATGCTGAGCCTTAGACTTCTTAGAAACTCTAGGTATTAAATCTAGAATCCATTCCTTCCCATCTTCTGCAAAAGATTCATCATATTTTTAGAAGGAATATTCTGGGGGGACGAAGGTTTGAGGCCCATTCAAGGCCTTGATGGCATAACTGGTTGGGAGACTTGAGATTATCAGTTTAGATCTAAATTAAGGCAAAATTTCAGCTTTCTTCACATGATGGTTTGCTATAGTTCTGTCTCCTTTTTCTTAAATTAAGCTACAAAAAACTTTTTGGGGAGGCAGCAAGTTCCTTGTTCCTGCATGTGCATGTTCACTGTCAGCTAATTCCTGGTGTTGCTCACAGTCTTCTCCCCATCCCAATCCCTGCCTTGTTGGTCATATTAAGTAGCATGGACTCAAACCAGTGCTGTTGACCAAGATGGAAACACCTCAGCTGCACACAAGTTATCTGAGTAGTTAACAATTTTGGCAACATACTTGGAAAGAGGATTTTTATGAAACTAAAGGTGTTTTGCAGAAGTGTTAAAATCTAATATGGGGGAGATACAGCAGCTGAACTCTTTAGGTGGAACTGAACATTTTTATAAAAACGGCCATGCCTTACCCTGTTGTTGCAAAGCCTGTGAGCACAGCCAGGGCAAGGCAGAGCTAAGGAAGCCTCTCTCACACCCAGGTGCCTTCTGCTGCTATCTCACACCGTGGTATTACTGCTGTGTTCTGGGAGGGTAAGAAAGATGGTGCTAGGTCATGTTAGTCACCTTTTTGCTTAATGCAATCTGGGGTTTTTTTTCTTTCTTCTAAGTTAATGATACTCTGGATGACATTTTTGATGCCTCTGATGAAGAGGAAGAAACCCAAGATATTGTTAATCAAGTGCTTGACGAGATCGGGATTGAAATCTCTGGCAAGGTATGGCTACTTTTGCACAGCTCGTGCTTTTTCCCCTGCATTCCATTTTTGAAACACAGTTTACTCTAAAAGTCAGCTTGTCATAAACCTGCATTGTTCTGACTGAACTCGTGTCTCCTTGCAGATGGCCAAAGCTCCCTCAGCTGCCCGAGGTTTGCCCTCTGCATCGGCCTCGAGCGCCGCCACCATCTCGGACGAGGAGATCGAGCGCCAGCTCAAAGCCTTGGGCGTGGATTGACTGCTGGGGGCTCAGCCCTGCACACCTGTGCAACGTGCAAATACTCTTTCAATGCAACTGATTTCTGAAGCCTCAGAAATGACAACTTGAAGATGAATTTGCAGAGAAAAGTTCTTTTTTTTATCCATTGCATGGAGTCTTTTTGACTCTGGACTGACCAGGGGTGTAGTTCTAACAATAAATTCACTTACACCCAATCCAGAGCTGTCCTTTGGATTCAAAGTTTTCTTCCATCTCTATTCCTGATCTGTCTCTAGAACTGGCTGTTCTGTGGCTGGTCATGCCACTTCCTAGGACAGCACCTGTGTAATATTAATCATTTTTACAAAACTATCATTAGAGAAACATTTAGTCTGCCAGCTCTTAGCACAAATGAAACTTCACCTTGGCTCTTAGTTGGAAACTTTTTTTTTTCCATGAGAAATAGCTTTGAATGTCTAGATAATTTAGGCAGAAAGAAAAAGCATTTTTATGTATTTCTTCAAAATTCCTTTTGAGCTGATGAAATAATAACTTGTAATTCCTCTTACCAGAAGGGAAGGATACACTCCTTGTGCAGTTAATTTTTCTGGAAGAGGAGTTACATTTGTTAGTGAAATTTGTTGCATGAAAGGCACTGATTGAACTCTATTGTACTGTAACATAGCTGGTTTCAACAGAATTGCTGTGCCTTTATGTATATAAATCTTGTACCTTTGTGATTTTCTTTCAGAAGGAGTCTTTGGAAGGTGAGTAAACTTAATAATTAAGATGGTTTTACAAAATGCTTTGGTGAGACCTCGCTGTACACTTGATGGGACTCGGTGCTGAAGTGGAGAGATGCACTCATTCAGAAATGCAAATTGTGCACTTGAAAAAAGGACATTTGCCTGAAGCAACATTTGTATATATTTTACAGTACTTCTTAATGGAAGATAACTGCATAATTGTATTGTTTGCTAAGATGCAACTGATCACATTGATAAACTAAATCTAAATATTAGTTTTGAGAACAATTTTGGATCATAAATGATAACTACTTGTCTTAACACTATAATAAAAGCATTCTGGTTCTGTGAAGGTTTTTCTATGGTCTCTGAACTGCATCAACACAATTCTAGCTTTAAGTGGAGCATGCATTGTGCTAAGGAATAAGAACTGTTGATACTGGAAATAGGCAAAATGAGAATGCAGTTCCCAGTTATTATTTTGTGGATGGTGTGATATTCCTCAGCCCTGACTCTGCTGGAGATATTTACCCCTCAGTGTTGATTTAGTGGTGCTGCTCATTGAGCAGAAACAACAATCATCTTGGCTTTAAAAAGAGAAAATCAAAATACCTCCCAAAAGCAAAACCAGGAAAACTGGAGGGGAACAAACCTCATAAAGAGACTTTGCTGCTAGGCAAAGTGTAGCAGGAAACCTCAGTGAATCTGCTGCTGTTGCACCATCTACTGTTTAGGACTGAAGTCAGCAAAGAGAACTCATAGGAGAGCCTTCCTCAGGTTTCAGGCCTAGAATTGCAGGTGTTCTTTCTCTTTCAAAGAAATAATGCAAAACTGAACCTGTCAGGTAGTGGGTAGGAATGTGTAAGTTAATATATTGCATATATCCAATATGGGGTGATTTTTTTTTTTACAAGTTATTTTGTAAAAATCTAATAAAAGGCTTTTTATCCCACAATGACTTTGTCCTCTGTAGGGTTAGTCTTACACATCTGTCTCTTACTGGGCTTTCTTTGTGAGCTCTGATAAATATTCCTTTGACTAGCTTTGATAAAGCACAAAATCATTTAATGTAGTTGCTCATGGGCCTTTAATTTAATATTCAGTAAAGATTTGTTCAAGTTTGCATTCCCTTGTCTGGAACCTCATGCCCAAGTACTGCTCTGTGGTGTTGAAAGAGAAATCATAATATGAACACAGGGATAAAATGTAAGTGGTTGTTTGTAGTTTGGTTGAACACCAAGGCTTGTGCCCTCTATGAATGAGGTATGCAGTGGGTTTTTAATAACTGTCAAAATTTGGCTTAATTCCATAATGAATTCTTTCCTCTGGGTCTTGAGGAACAGGAAGAAAGGTATTGCTTTTTTGGTGACATAACAACTGCTGACCTAGTGCTGGTGTCAGTATCCTGTGGTTTAAGTTACCTTTTCAATCCTGTGACTCTAACCTGTGTAAAGATCTTTGGGTAGCAGGGTGAGAAATGCTGTAGGTTTGCAGGCTTGTTATGTGTCTGCAACTATGGTCAGTATGTTGGATCAGGCTAAAAAAATTGCACCCCCTGCTTAGATACAAATTCCTTTTAAATCACATTGAGTGATAAAAAAAATCCAGTGAAACCACTGAATCCTTACCCTCCTTTATCCTTGCTAACACCTAAATAGGAACTGGATCTGAGTCTCCATCTGGGAGCAATGACACAGTTGTGCACACACCTAAAAATGGCTCTACCCACAGCCCTGCTCAAGTGCCCAGCAATTCCCAGGGGAGCAATGAGAACACAATGAGCATCAATGATGCTTCCTCCCTTAGTACTCTTCCAATCTCTGTTTCAAAAATAAAGTATATCCAGAGCCCTGTGCAAGTTCTACACACACCAGCTCTAAGTGGCTTTCTCATCTGAGAACTCCATACAAAAGAACTTCTGGCACCTACTTTTTTCCCACCAATATTTTTTTCCCAAGCATGTTAAAAAACACCGTTTTGTTTTAAGCTTCTTTCCATCTTCCTCTGTTTACTCCTAGTTCTTATATTATGAACAGCCTGCCTCCATCAGCTTTTTAGAGCAGTTCACACTTGAGCAGACTCTAGCATTCAATGCACACACATTAAATCTAGCAGAGAGTAACTTCAAGTTTTTCACCTTACCTTTGCTCAGCAGCTTGGCCTGTGCTTGGTCAGTTGTGTCCCTCACTCGAGGGCTCAGCACATCACAGTTCTTCAGAGACAGCCGAACCTCAGATTTAAACATTGTGATAACACCTTGTTTTGACCTCTAGTGTCCTTTTAACACCCTGCCTAAAGTGACCATGGGAAAAGAAGAGCAAGGGAAAAAGCCCCACAAATATCTCAAAAACAGCACAGCCCACCTTGGTTTTATGGCCAGCTAAACTCCTGCAGGTTCATAGAGCTGCTCCCTTGAAAATCCTGCCTTATATGCAGGTTGGGTCCTCCCCCCTCCACCCCAATCAAGAGTAATTGGTGGTAATTAAGTTGTTCCTAGAGGAAAAAAAATGATTTGCCATTTTCTGTAAGTAAAGCTCCAGCTGCAGCCATTGAAATTGATTTCATCCAGCTTTTCTTTAAATAATTCTAATTTTTTTTCTATTTCTGTGGCAGCAGGTAGGTGGGTTTAAATGGTGGCTGCTTCCCCCAGCTGGCATTTTGTCATTCCTTTGCAAGACAATTTTGTTATGTGTCACCTTTCATTTTATTTTACTGCAATTAGCTTTCACTTTTGAGACTTTTTGAGGGGCAAGAGACCCCCCACATTACAGTGTGGTCACTCTGGAACTATCTGTTAGAGCATTCTAAAATACACTGCCACAGGACACACAGCTAAAAAGAGTAAAGTGTTACCAAAACAGAGATACAAACCATTGCCTGGAGTGCCAAAAGTATAGGAATACTTTATTGGATGAGGAGGTTGGGAAGTACAGGCTGATAGCATTTCTAGGAAGCCTTTTATAATTAAGAAAATAATTTAGAATATAAATAATTTTTATATACCAGATAGTGTTTTCAACATACATAACATTTGACCACATCACATGAAAGGCACACCAATGCATGCCACCACCTTTGCTGAGTGCTGATCCTCTCAGCTGAACTTTTTTCGTGAAGTTCATGACCTGCTGGTAACCTGTGGTGGATAAAAGTGTGCACCTTGGTCTCTGCTATAGCAATGAGCTATGCTAGTGATGAAAGCAGCCTGAAGGGAGTACATAGCCACAGTTTGTCCCCTTTGAGTTATTAAATTGAAGTTTTCTTCTCAGTTAAGGGCTTAGAGTGGTGCATTCATCCATAAAAATGGGGTTTTTTAGAAATCCAGGAGCCTGATTTCCATTGTTGAATATGCTTACGGTCACTGTAATAAGTATCAGAGATAATTTAATGTACACTGGAGAGTGAGCACTTAACTTGTACATGCTGCTTCTAAGTGGTCTTGAACATTAAACTCCCCTGGCTTTCTGTGGGCCTATTATATAGACATTTTCTAAATCATCAGGTTTGTTTTATGGAAAAATAAAATGCATCGGGCCAGTACTACTTGCGTGTGCTCACTTAATTTCAGTCCTGGGAAAACAGTCAAAATACTTATATGGTAATGGGCTAATTCCCATAACAATGAGCAGGGCTGATGAGATGGCTGGATAATCTATCCCTGGTGAGTACTACAGTCATTAATTCTGTTTTCTCAGTGCCTGCCTGATAGGTGGAGCTCTGGCACTGGTATTTTTTTCCCCTCCATTATCTCTAGGCAGGAGGATGACAAATAAGGGATTATTTTCAATTAGTGGGGTGTAATAGAGGGGGAACATGCAGTGCCATAAATTCTTCTTTTGTGTACTTTTTAGCTTAACACACCATCTCTGGTGTAAGTATGTCCACACATGGTTTTAATCAGAAGAAAGTACAATGCAGAGAAAGGCCAATGTAATAAAAGCCCTGATAAAGTATTTTTCTTCCCTTCAGGCCACAAAGTCCTGAGGTCAGATAAATTGTATTCCTGTTTTTATAGCTAAACCTACCCAAAACAAACTTTGAGGCACATAACAAATTAGCAAGAATTACCTTTGATAACAAGCATTATCCAAGCCACTTCTACTCAACACTGGGTCAAGGCGGTCAAATGTTGGGCTGAGGCAGAGCACACAGTAGGAGCAGTGTGACACCTCTGTCCTGGCGAGCTCACAGGGCCTCAATTAATGACAGCAAAATCCTTCCCATGCTACAGCTGCTGGTAGCATGTAGGAGGAATGAGGGGTTTACTGATTTTTCTCTTTTTTAACGACACAGTATTTACAAAAAGCAAAACAGAAATCCACGTGTGTACGTGGAAAAGCTTCACCGGCATTCGTGGTGCTCCTTGATGATAGAACTGAAGGCATTCTGGTGTAAACTGGTCTTCACTCTTTTTTCCCTTTGTCTTCTGTTGCAAAACCAAACTCTCACGACTTCCTTCTCAAGATTGAGCCCCTCAGCCATCCTCATGATTTCCTGAGAAGATGGCTTACTTTGTTCTCCAAAGTGCCTCTCCAGGGCTTCCTTGGCAGCGATGCTGGATTCAGGGGTAAAATTTCACCTTTAAAAACTTTTCTGTACATTCAGGCTTTCACCACTAGTTCAAGAGAAAGATCAAGTAACAACACTGAAGGCAGTGACTTGGTTTGTTTCTCTTTCTCTAGGTAAAGGGAGCCCAAAACACTAAAAATACTCTGTAGCTCTCTGCTGACACAAGCAGAGTGACATCGTACAGAATTGTGGCACGGGGTGATTAAAAGGCAAAAATGGCAGCAAGCTCAGTGCAATTTCAGTGTTAATTATAAAATATTTGTGCTTCTTGGTATTATCTAGGAGACACAGCTACAAACTAGTTATGAGTGGGGTCAAAGGAATTGCAACAAGCCTGACAACCCTTCTATCCCAGCAAATGCACATCAGTGGTGTTACCTGGTTGTATCAAATCATTTGGGTTTACAGAGAGGAAGAGCTTTATCACCTAGATTTGAGAAACACTGTGTGTTTTGCATCTCACTAATTATAGAGACAGCACTAGAGCATTCCTAGAAATCACAGAGACTATGGCCAGCTGTTTTAGCCATCATCATATTCTCCAAATATCTGCCCTCATCTGTTCCTCAGTCAGCAGTGATCAAAAGTGAGTGGTTCACTAAACAGAATAATTTAATACTGTTATTTTTTTCTTATTTCCAGATAGAATTTGCTTCCAATTTCTGTTACATACTCTGAAAAACCAAATATGTGACATGCTTGTGTGCCACTGGGAGGCATCCAGAAGTTTCAGCAGTAGCTGTAATTTCTTTGGACACGAGAGGGCACTTCATGCATTATTCTGAAAGTGAGGTGCAGGTATTTGCTACAGAAATACAAAGTCTGCTCCACTTCTAGTTATTTCATCTCTTGGTCTTTCTTTTATGGGTCTTCTACATTCTACATTTATAGTTTTTCAATATTTACTGATGTTTAACAAAACTGACTAATTAATAGAATGGTGTTCTGCACATACAGAAGTATAGAAACATCATTACTTTTGACTAACAACTTCTTAGGTTTTGAGCAAAGTATGAAATATAATACTTTGGAATTAATTGGGGGTCTGGAGTGTTATGCTGGTTTTTTTCATTAGAATATTTCCAAATATTGGAACTTTTAGATGCCCAAGATGTAGATATTCATTAATAGAAAAGAGCACTTCAATTTTGACAGAAGAAAAAAGAAGCATCTTGGCCAAAATTGTTTCTAACCTGTAATAACCTAAATATTTATTACCTTATGGTGGTTCTGCGCTTCCTCTTCCGTTCATTCACCCCAACTTTTTCATTGTACAAAGCTGTATTAAAAAAAGAAGAAGCAGTCAAACAACAAAAGCTGGCAGTTACAATCCACAGGAACTGGAAAACAAAAAATAGTCACTTTCTTTGAAGGAAGAGGGTACAGGAGAAAGTGCTGCTGAATAAGAGGAGTATCACACACAGGATCTTTCCATTGTTAGGATCATTGTTTTACCTCCAATTATAAATGGTTATAGGCAGAAATGGTTAGATGCAAAAGGCCTTTGCTCATGAAAAATCCCTGTAGCTCTGCTAAATGAGCTGCCCTGCAGATCCTACTCTACAGGACTGGAACTGATTTGCTGGGTTGGGACTGGAAGAAATTTCTTCCAGCATCCCAGGAGATATTTCTGCTATTCTGTACAGTCCATCCATTTCAGTTTTCCCCTCCATGCTCACCCAAAATAAAAGATAACTATATTTTAACACAAGCACACCTCAGCATTTACAGCTGGTAAAACAAAATCTTTAGTCCACAGAAGACACATAACAGCCCTAAAATATTTACATGGGATTCTTCTTGAAGGGCAAATCAATATTTAGAGGATTTCAGTTCCCTACCTCCCACTTGTTCTGCTTCCTCCAGCCACTTGGACAGGATGGATTTCAGCTTGCACGCGTTCTTGAAGCTCAGCTGCAAGTTCTCAAAGCGGCAAATCGTCGTCTGGCTGAACTCGGAGCCATGCACAGCAGCCAGGGCTTCTCCGACGTTGGTTTGTGTATAACCTGCCAGAAACAGAGGAAAAAGCAGCTTTGAAGCTTTCTAGGGGGGTTACTTTCCTTGAGATGCTCAGCCCTTTGCTGCAGTGCCTCCAGGCTGAGCTTGGTCTCTGTGGCCAGCTGAGCTCATTCAGAGCCTGCTCAGTCTCCTGGTGGTCTCTGTGCAGCGTGACACTGATTTACTGGAGTTTTACACTCCAGGATTAGGGATTTGAGAAGGATCCAGACACACCATGTCTTTGTGTAGATGGTGCAAGAGCAATAATCCCTAGAGGTACTGTTGGTCTCCTGTTATTTGTTGCAACACCCAAGCTGAAGTCATCAGAGAAATGCTGCAGTTTCCATGCAGACTCTGACTCTGCCTCAGCAGCTCCCTGCTCATTTCTCTGAACGTGGATCTGCCATGGCTGAGGGACTGGATCACCATTCTCCTTTTCTGCTTTGGTGCCAGGACAAGGCAAGATCCCTTTAGGCACTCAGTGTCCCATGAGGCACCTTTTAACTTCCTTTTTGACTGCACTAACCCTGTGTCTCTCAGACCCACAATCTGTTTTGTCTTGTAAAGCTCAAACTCAGATTATTTTTCCTGTGCATATTGCATTTCTCCCATTCTACAGGCTCCATGTGATTTGCTTACACCAAAGGAAGTTTTGTTCCCTCAAAAATTCCAGATGAAGATGCAGTAATTAACTATGTGTGGCCTGGTAAATGTTTTCCATTGCTGTGGCTGACATCAATTAAAGGATATACAGGAAAATTGACCAGTTTGCAAATATTTTTAAACCCTAATTTCTTTTATTTCAGTTTAGTCTGCAAATGGAACATTCTGGCTTTCTAGCTGTTGAGATAGTGCACACATACCCCATATAAACTTATAATTTTATATAGTTATTATTTTATATAACCTTATAATTTTTTAGATTTATAAAATAAAAGGATTGCCTATAATTCTGATGCAATGTTATAAGTGATAATGCCAAGAACGACAGGGCAAAGCCCACCTTCGTTCTCAGCAGTTATTTCACAGCAACAAAGATATCAATTGCTTCCCAACTGTGTCATAAACAAAAAAATGGCACAAAAAAATAAACCAGGAAGAGCACCTTTCTACTGGTGTGAAGGATTTCCCACTCAGTGTATACTGAAATGACAGCAGACCATCAGATTAAACAGTCTATGGGGAAAAGAATGGGTATGGGAGGTTAGTTGGTTATGAGGGTGAGAGGAATAGTGGATTTGTCTTTTCAAACAAGCTGTGGGTCTGCTGGTAGATAAAACTAGCACTGGGAGATAAAAGAAACAATGGGAAGGATTCCACTGATTGATGAAATGGAAAAAGATATTTGCTTTCACAAATAAACTTTAGGTTTGCTGATAAATGAAATTAGATATTGAAAGATGAAAGAAACAATGGGGAAGAAAAGCCCCTAAATTCAGTAAGAATTAAAGATTACAAGGGAGGGTTGTACATTAGAGGAAAATCTCTGGTATCAGGCATCCTGGGAAGTCTGTACCTCTCAAGTACCTCAGCCAATGGGGAAAGAGAGAAGGGAAATGCAGCAGGGAAATTGGGATAAAAATGAGGCTGTGTCCTCCAAAAATTGGAGATCCTAGGGGAATGCCCCATGGCCTCTCCCTTTATTCAAATAAAGTAAAAGGACTCCTCTGTCTCCTTTTGGACATAAACCTCTGGCGTTTGTGGATTAATTTTCCTAACAAGGACTATCTACCCTAAGCTGCAGATAATTTGGAGCTGTGCAAAATATTGCACCTGGCACTGAATAGAATTTATTGAACATAAAAAATTTTCACTGCATTTAACACAAATAATTTAAGGGCAGGAAAGTTTAAAGTCCCCTTCTGCAAACCGAAAGCTGACGTTCATTAATTCCATGCAAGTCCTCTAGGAATGGAGGAGGTTTTGCACGGCAAGGCAGGATCAGAGTCATGCTGAGACAACAGCAGAGGCCAGACCATACAACACTCAGAAACAACTGGGCTTTCACTGGACTCTTCCAGCCTTTTGTTTGTGGACATGAAGCACATACCCAGCTTGATTCTCCGCAGCTTGAACTCGTTGGCGAATTTCTCCAGCTCCCTGATTTCCGGGGAGTCCATGTCCACGGGCTCCTCCGCGGGCTTGCTCTTCCTGCGGAACTCCTGCTTGAACTCCGGGGCTGCGGGCTCGTCCGTGAGCAGGGGCTGGGGCAGGGCAGTGAAGCCGTGGCCCAGGGCACAGGAGCTGGCACCCAGAGCGTGCTCCGGGAACTTGTACAGGCAGGGGGTCAGGCCACCTGGGAATGCCAAAGAGAGAGCTCATGGCACTGGTTCTCTGCTGTGCACTGTAAAAACCTCCCCTCGCCACCATGTCTGCAATTTTAATTCTACAGTACACGTGAGAGAATCCAGGAGTTAGAGTTTCCTAGGTTGTGTTTTCTCCCTTTTGTCCCAGAATGCCAAAGAGAGAGCTCATGGCACTGGTTCTCTGCTGCTGCTCTGTAAAAACCTCCCCTCGCCACCTTGTCATCCCTCGTCATCCCTGCCTACAATTTTAATTCTACAGTACACGTGTGACAATCCAGGAGTTAGTTTCCCAGGATGTGCTTTCTCTGTTTTGTCCCAGCACATGGAAACCTATCAATAACCCCCTTCACCAGCCACAGCCATATTATCACTTATTTAAGTGCTTCACAGTTTGCTAAGAGGCAAATGGCCAAAACTTACACAAACAAAAATCCATGCTCTAAGCTGGAATTAAGTGGCACAACAAGAGCGATGGATCTGTGTCATTTTGAGCCACTTAAAATTTACCAGTCTCTATTTTCTGGCACAAAGAATACTTCCATGTAGATGCCATTTGATGCTCAGACAAGATACTATCTTGCCTTAGCTGCAGCACAAAATTTCTTTGAGGAAAGTACACAGGCAAGAGCGCAAAGGAAAACAAAAAACAACAAAAAAACTAGAACTCATTCAGAATGATCCTTCGAAAAAGAAATTGCTCAAGGATAAAACAGAACTATTTTTCACTAACTTTTGTTCCCAAATGTCAGACTTAACAAGGAGATGCACTTAAGAGTGAAGGCTGATTTTTCGCTAGATATTGTACATAGAGATAAAAAGTCTCTGACCTGAGGGAGGCATGGGGGAATTACTGGAGAAATATTAACAATCCTCAGTGTATCTGGAGCAGCCAGTAAATTCCAGGTTCTCAGGTCATCCTTTCCAATTTTCTAAACTACACAAAACCGTGTAGAAGAACTCAGAACTTCATTAACCTCCCACTGCTGCCTCCATTTATTAGAGCTAGGCTTTTCTTCACTGCCCCAATTACTCCCATCAGAGTTGGAGGTTCTAACCCCATAGAACTATTTAATACATTCCATACAGGATAACCACAAAAAAAAAAATCTCAAAAAATAATGAAAAATGCTTTAAAAGAGGGGGACTTGCTTTGCAAGGTGCTGACACCGTTTACCACATTGGGGTGGGGCATGCTGCACGTCTGTAAGATGCGAGTCTGGGAGAGACTTGCTGAGAGCATCTCTGGAGTTGCAGGCTTGATGCCTAAGAAAATAAAGAAAAGAAGGTGAAAATAAGAGAAGAAAGGAGAAGAATAAAAATGTATTTCTTTTGGAATTAAAGAAAACTAATTTCTGAGCAATATAATTTATTATTACTTATTAACTTTCCCCAGGGACCTGGACAATGCCAGGAATTTTTTCAAAAGACACAGAAATGCACAATGAAATATAAGAATTTGGAAATTTGCATACCATGAAGGAAGCCTACACTCTGTCCCTATTAGTCTATGCTGATTTACTCTAGCATTTCTTTAATTCTTAAATGAAATAAAATTCTGAGTTTGATTTTGGATTATTTCCAAGTCCCATTTATTTCCTGGGAGTTCTGTTAACTTGGTTCATGTCATTATGTCATTGACTGCTACTTAAACCAGCACAGAACAAAAGTGCCTCACTCTTACTGAGCTTGGGACAGGCTGAGCAGGATGCATTCATGAGTGTAAAAATCTATGATCACATGGCTGGTCTGCCTGCTGCATTCACCTATCCCCTCCTTATGCCATCATTTTATTTTATAGCTTCAGCCAGGGCTTCATCAGCCCAGGTACTTGTCATACCCAGTCATACCCATACCTATAGACAAGTGAGTTTAATACTAAGTTTCCACAGTTAACACCTGCCTCCAAAATCTCATCCAGGCAATTGTCTGGAAGGCAACCTGTCTGAGAGCTCAAACAGAAGTCTGCAATAGTCAAGAACCTATAGCAAAATAATCTGAATTAATCTAATTCCCAGCAGTTGCACAGTGATCATTTGTCTTGATCTATAATGGGTGGGTTGGGTATGTCACTTCTGGCCCCTCAAAAAGTGATAATCACCAGGAGAAGCAGCCAGAGGTGAGCAAAAAGAACAGGACTTTCCCAGACTTGTAGGGAGACATAAGATATGGAGTGATTTCTCAAGGGATGCAGAGGTTTGGGGAACTCTGGGCACTAATTTCCAAACCCTTTTTCTAGCGCCTCAATCCAAATCCCATCTTCTTCAAAGGATTGTCTTGGATTGGCCCCTCTAAAGGACAACTGGCTAAGATCCACACTCTGACAGCTCACCCAGCTGAGGTTTGGCCCCTTACCTGCCATCACCCCATAGGTGGAGGGTTGATTCCCATAGTGACAGGAGGGCACGGAGTAGTGCAGGCCTGGCCAAGGGTGTCCCGGCGTCGTCGCAGCAAAGCCAACGCACGAACACGCACGAGTTGGGAGCAAAGAGAAAACAGATGGGACTCGTAAGAATTCAAGATTTGAGACACAGTCTTTAAGTGTGAGGCAGGCAGTGCCTTCTGTGCCTTCAGTTCCTCTGAGGCAGGACTAGGAATTGTCGTGCTGTCCCTTGATGAGCTGATTTTGGTATAATCTATGGGCATAACCCAGTTTGCACAAAGTGCTGAGCAGGGGAAGCATTGCACTCTTAAGGGGAGACCTGTTCCTCTCCTCACTCAACTTCCTCACATTGATTCATTCAATCTCACACAAAAACTAATTCTAAGGTCCCAGGAAATTGCCTTCACTGTCGAGCAAACCCCACAGCGAATGAAGGCCTGGGTTTCCAAAGGCAGTACTTTGGGACATCTGCTTTGATGTGTCCAAAAATCAGAATTTCTTGAGTGCCAAGCAATAAAAAGCCTTTCAGAGTGCTTTGGCATGGTGGTAGAGAAACAAGATGGCAAATTCTGGATTCTTCTGAAGTCAGCCCTAAATAAACATTTTCCATCACCAGCACCAACAAACACAATGTTAATTTATCTCTTGTGTTTTCACAGGGGTATTTCAGGTCTGTGCTCAGTAATAGAAGAATGAGACCATTTTTGCTGAATGCAATATAGAGATATGGCTGTTTCTCATGTATAAGTAGGAATAAAAATGCATGTACTGCCCCCTCTAACAACTGCAATAAAACAGAATATTAAAAATTAATGCTCATGAACATTCAGATATGTAAGACCACATTTTAAAGAACGCATTCCTGTTGATCAAAACAGTCGATTTAATTAGGGATTAGAATATTTGGGTTTCACAACAGTAATCATAACAGTAAAGTGTCCTGTTTAAATATACTTGCACAGATATAAAATCTACTGAGACAAACATGCTTATACTAATGTAGATACAGTGAAAATAAAGATTGTGTTAATAACTGTAATGCACGTAGAGCAATTCAACTTTTCTGTTAAGATCTGAGTTTTTACTGGTTGCATTTTTCCACTATTTCATAATCCACATACTATAAATTTTATGCATGAAAGTACAATTTTTGATTTGCTAATGATGATTTAAAATTAAATAGTGAGGATAATGCAATTTAAATGAAATAATAGCAGTCAAAGTGTTGAGGATACTGCAGAATATCAGCTGAATGACACAGCATAGTATTTGAACAGAAGTATTTTCACCTTTCTTGTGATGAAGAATTGTTACATCCATTTTTAAAACTTTTGACATTTAAAATAAGTTGTTATTCAAAATTCTTTCACCATTATATTGTACACAAATTCTCCTCATGTGCACTCAAAGTGGCACTTTTTATGACAATTCCTTAATCTATGTACGAAATGTGTAAATCTTGACTCGTTATAGTTACCACCCTCTGTTTCTGCTTTCCCAGGGTGGTTTTTTCACAGGATCATCTTCTGGATGTGGTTCCTGAACCAAAATTTCCACTGTCTGCAGTGGCATTTGTCCTTGGATGTCAGATACAAAATAGCAAAACCTGAACCTGTGGCAGGCGAGCAGATGCTCTGGGCCAGCCCCCGTCGTGTCCTTTCCATTACAAGGCAGATGAATCTAGAAAATACTGCTGTGATACATACACATAAATTTGATCTCATACAAAATTTAAATTCTCCTATTCCCTGCCACTATTGCTAACCCACAGCTGTATTGGGATATTTTGAGCCTTTTGCTTAATGTATAAGATGATCCTGTTTTCTGTTACCAATAACCAATTTTCACTACATACATGCTTTTTCTTTTCATTAAAATGCTTTATTACCAATGCTTTTCAGGAAAAATGTGCTTTCTTGTTAAGACTCCAAATGAAATTCTAATTTTAATGCAATTTCAAATAAATCAACTATTTCTTTTTCTTTCCCTGAAGGCTTTCTATCAACAATTCCTGTATTCCAGAATCCCACCTCTGCAGTATTAACACTGCAAGAAAACTCTCTTTGGCTCAGATATTTAGTGATGAAATAGTCCTAATATTTAAATGCATCTAATTGGACTATATACACAAACATACAAGATTCAAAAATAATGGCAAGGCTTCTCCTACCTATTTTGAACATCACAATTAAACCTTAGTATTGATTCAGTTTGCAATATGCCCTGCAAAGCAATGTTTTTCCTTGTTTAAAGCTCCCCCAAGCTATATTTACACTTGTGGCCTTTTAAATGTATTTCCTATTTAAGGTAATTTATCATATTTTAAATTATGGTTACAAAATAAACAACTTTTCAATTATTTTACATGACAGTTGTCATTGAAGACTGTAGTAATACCAAAGACAGTGTTTGAACCTGTTCTAAGTTGGCAGCATATTTGAGTCTAATCTTGTAACAAACTTAAAGAAAATTACGTATTTAGCTACAACACAAACATTTGTGCTTTTCCTGACTCACTCATATGCAGAATTTTGTGAAATTGCTTCTACTTTGGCACAGCCCCAATCATACATAACACTGACACTGAACACTTTAAACACTGAGAATTCAATGAACTCAGCTATCACCCAAAAATTACAAATGAGAGCAAGAGTATTTTCAAAAAGTACCTGTAGACACAACACTGGTGGTGTGGTTGGAGACCTGCAGGCACTCTGCAGCGCTGTGGTGCATTATCAGAGGCAGAGAGGGAGAAGAGTCAGAATTCAAGGGCACAAAGGTGTCTGAGGAAGCGAATGTTTGGCAGCTCATACCCTCCTAGAGGCAAGAGAGCTGCCTGTCCCGTGTTCTACCAGAGCAGATCCTGCAGGATTAATGGCACCTCAAACGCTATTCCAGGATTTTACCAGGATATACACACAGAGGAGGGCTCCAGAGCACGGGGAGGTCGTGTGCAGGTATTTATACCACTAGGAAATCCCTTTATCCATTTTAATGTTCTTTTCCCAGCAATATTGCTACCCTGGTACAGAGCCTCCTTCCTTCCCACACAAACACAATACGTGTCCAATTAATGGAGGGGCGGGGGAAGAAGAGGGAAACCAGAGACATGATTTGACAGATATTTTCAATTAGGTCTTTTGTGGAGGACAATGACCAGAAAAAAAAATTAAAGTATCGTCTCCAAAGGCGGTGGCAACAGACAAGTGAGTTTAATACTAAGTTGGTTTCCACAGTTAACACCTGCCTCCAAAATCTCATCCAGGCAATTGTCTGGAAGGCAACCTGTCTGAGAGCTCAAACAGAAGTCTGCAATAGTCAAGAACCTATAGCAAAATAATCTGAATTAACCTAATTCCCAGCAGTTGCACTGTGATCATTTGTCTTGACCTATACCGGTATAAATCAGAGATGTGTAATATGAAACAGCTGTAGCCAGAAGGAACTTTGTGAACAGACAGCTTTCCATAAGCATGATGTGCTAAATGTTTATCTTAGATAAGCTCTTGACAGAGTCCATGGTGTCCCTTAAAACTCATTCACAGTTGCTCTTATTGGTTTATACTACTGCAGCATCTGAAGTCTTCTCCGCAAGATCCTAAGGAAGATCAAGATCCTTACTCAAAGAAGAAAAATGATTTTTTGACATGAGACTGGAATAATTTTGGAACATGATAGAGAGCATACAGGTTACTCTAAAAATGATAAAAAATTCTGCAGTACACCATAGTCGCATATTCTATGTAGATGCAATAAAGGTGGGCTTGGTTTGGTTTTTGTTACCAAAGATGTCTGGTCGTATTTTATGTCAAGATGACAATATATTTTGTGTGTTTCATATTCCAAACTGGGTTAAATGTCTGAACTAGAATTTTGACTACACCAACTTCAGATATATGAGATGGGAGCAATCATATTTGTTATTACACCATTTTTCATATGTTACTGCAGAAAAGTGGCATTGCTTTGAGCCATTCTGCAGAATCCTTTAAGTGAGTCTTGGGAAAGGCTGTGACTAAGATTGTGAAGAAATTTCAGAATTAGTGCATAAGGCAAACTGCACGTGTCTTTAACAGTGGTTATCTACGGCTTATACAGGTACTTTCAGATTGCAAAATATACCAAAAAATCAAAATAATTATTGCAATATTATGGAAGATACTGTCATGAAATGAACCCCATCTGCATTACTTAGGGCTTGGCTCAACGTATCCTAATGTCTGTGGATTCATATAAAAATTATTTTAGCTATTTTCCCCTCCTTTTCTCCCTCACCAAGGGGCATGATAAATCTAACAGAGGGTCCCCTCCACATACCAGAGTTTTGAAGCCATGGGAGAAAAAGAATAACTTTACATCCCTGTCTTTGTCATTTTTTTTCCCAAATCCCAACAGGTGTCACTGTAGATAGTGATTCAGTAAACAGAAAATTTACAGTTTCACTGGAAACTCATGTCTAGATGCAAAGAAGTTGCAGCCTGTCCCCAAGTACAGGATGGAGTTCATTCCTGATTTCCCTTTCTTGCCCAGGTCAGGAGAAGCTTATCCAGCTTTCCCAGGTGCTCAGGCTTTCCAGAGCTATGGAGTTCATTAGAGGGGGTGGTTGTGGGTTCATGGATGCTGCTCACCCACAGAACCCAGAACTGATTTGGATTGGGAAAGTAAATTCAGTCAGGAGTGACAAGGCACTGAGCTTTCCTTCAGAGTGCAGTCTAAAGGTGTTCTGTGACACCATTCCAGACACCACCTCAAATGAGTTTTTTTCATGCTCATTATTGTGTTTTATAGTGCTGAATAAAGAGACATTCTAATTTTGCATATTTGTGCTATATCGCCTACCTCTTGCTAATAACTTCACTATTTTTCATTTTGATTACGACCAAATTTCCTTAGTTGCATTCAGTTTCAAATAAATAGTTTTTGGCATTATTTTTGAGGACCCTGGAAAGCTGGACTGTTACCAATACTAGGTATTGGAAAAATTTCACATTCATCAGAGCTTATTTCTAATACAAGTAGCACCTCTGATAAAGCTTTGTTACCACTCTCCCCAGATACTGTGCTAAGGCTGCAGATTGCCTGACTCAAAGCTACCCTATATTCTGATTTCTTCGTAAGTTTTAAGTCTCTGCTTCACAGCACACAGTTCAGCTGAAAACTTCTGGCAGGAATTTCAGGCCACTGACTAAAGAGGTAATTCCTTCTCTACACTTACAAGCGCTCTCAGAAGTTCAGTGGGAGTTTTCTGCCCTAAAACCCATTCTCCATTTGGACGGTGCCATGATGCTGGTAAATGTCACAATCCCATCTGCTTCCTGCTGGATCCTCAGTTAAACTGGCCTTTTGGGGGGCAATTACTTCTATAAGGAAGATAGGAGGAAATGAAGATTTATTGGATAATTCTGAGCTTACCTTAATGTCTTTCCTTGGGTTGAACTCCAATCCTTATTCCATGTCAGTAGACTGATTCTTTGCCCCATAAATCTCTTCTGATGGAATCCCAAAATAATGAAGAAAGCCATGAAAACCCACTGAGGGTTTTCAAGACAGCATTAAACTGTCTGTTTTAGAGGCAAAACAATCCCTTCATGTGGTTTTCTTAGCTCAGAAATAGCATCCCAGTGTAAGATCTCAGGTCTGGAAAGGGAAACACCATCATTTTCCTTCACAGGAGCACAGCATTTCTGTTCCCAAGAGATGATCCCATGCTGGTCAAAAACATAGATTTCCAGCCTCGCCTTTGCCAAGAACCACAAAATTACAAAGAAAATCTGGCACAGTACAAGCCTTGGCAGCATCTTTGATTCATTCATTCCTTTTCCCAGGTCTCCAAGCCCTTTTGTAGATAAATTGAAAACTATAAGGCTTGTACAAATAAAGAGCTTGCAGAGGTGGAAGTCTCTACAAGCCTAATCACTACGACAGTCCTGCAGCTGAAATATTACTCACTGAAAGAGTCACTCACACTCTGGAGAGGAGTGTGTGTGGATGTCTGTCTGTCTATCTATCCCAATAATGCATCAAGTTGTGGTTCTTTGGGAAGAGCTTCATTTTTGCCTTCAGTGCACATTGAGAGGGTGATCTTCAACTTTGTTTTTTCCCAACAATACTGCAATTTGCATCCTGTCCCCCCATACACTTTTGTACAATGTACTTGTGCGTAAATATTTGTGTCGCACTTCATTTTATTCAGAATACTGAAATGCACAGGTTTTAACTCTATCATAATTTCATGGTTATTTTTCACTGGGTTAGGTAAAAACTATAAAACTGCTCTAGAGATCTGCACATTTCTGCAGTTTTATCCAATTCTTCCTCTTATTTTTTCAGTGCAGAAAGTCCTTGAACTGGAATGACCATGCTCACGCCATTGAAATCCCCGCAAGGCAGAGGGGGTTTACTTCCCACACTGTAAATGAAAAAGACATCTCTAAGTGCGTGACACTGTGCACAGGGAAAAAAATAAATCTTTTTTCTTAGGTAAGACACAAACTGAGTCACAAACTGTCAGTGTATGCCAGGGATAGTTTCATTCACAACTGATGGGAGGAGGGAGGGTGGATTAAAAATTTTGAAGGAAGACACTTTCCCAGGGAGCAGCACAATGCAATTTGCTTTTTAAAAACCTATAGAAAGCTTATCCAGTCTTGCTGCCAAAGTCTGGCTCACTGGAGTCTGAGTGAAACACATGTGCAATTGCATTAGAGCAAACAAAAGCCTTAAAGCCTGATTTAGACCGAGTGGGACTACTTGATAAAGACCAGAAAGAATGCAAGATTAGTTGTTTCTCTGAGCCACCTGTCCTTAACTTTAGATCACCTCTGCAGAAAAGAGCCCCCAGAACGTGCAGGACAGACATGATCTGTTATCTGCAGGGAAAGGTGCTGTTCCCACGGCTCTCAAACAACAACCCGAGCCAGGGCAGCAGCTCCCATCAGAAAATATGGTTAAACTTAGCTATAAGAGCTACAAACTGAAATTACAGTTAAAATTCCACTGCTTTTCTTCATGCTCCCTGTCAGACTGGTGGTCCTCAAAATGATTCACACTGTAAATATACTGGTGGAGACCCTGACACCTAATGGAAGTGATCCAAGCTCATTCCAGCCTTATTCCAGTGAAAAACAGGGTAGGATCATAACTGCAAATAGTTATGACTGGGACCAGACAGGGGACCTATACCAGGAATGAGTTAATCAAGTATGTGGGAAAAAAAATCAACTTGCACTCAACAACTTTAAAGCATTTACAAAATATTGCTACTGACAATGATATCACATTTGTTAAAGGCCAGGTTTAAAAATCCCATGTATTACAATTGACTCATTTTCAGTTTTTTCAGGATGATGTAACAACAATTTCAGTAGCAAAAGTGTTTTTCCCTGATGGTTTCCTTTGGAAAATCAGAACTTTTCCACAGAGAGAAAGAAATTTATATACGCAGTTATAAATTTAAAGACACTTAATGCTATTTCTAGAAACCTAGAGTTTTCAGGGACCTAGAATTTCAGTGCTTTTATTCTACTCCAAATGACTTCTTTCCAGTTTTCTTATGTCATTTCAGAAAGGGGATCTGTAGCCCCAGGAAGTTTTCATCACACTACAGTAGCCAAACCATTAATTCTTTCCCAGTTTTGATTTCAAGGCACAAGTCAAGCATTGTTTTCACAAAGCTTTGGTAAATATTCCCGTACAAATGCAGTGCAAGTGGTACTTTGAATCTCGCACATGCACTTTAAAGGTCCCCTTCACACAACATAAAATGGAGCAAAATATGCATCCCCTGCTTCTGAGTCTATACTTTCATTAGC